ACTTGGCAGCACATTTAGGGCTCATTCACACTAGAAAAGGCCGACACGTACAGCTCCCGGGAAGGACAGGTGCTGCGTGTGATTAGTACGCACCCCCCGTCCTTCCCTATGGGAGTACGCCGCCCTACGCTCACCCCAAGTGCACGTCCGTACGGGTGCGGGTGAGCGTACTCGTACGCTGGCAGGATGGCTCCTGTCTGCGTCCGAGCCGGGACACCCGTACGGACCTGCACATGAGGTGAGCGTAGGGCGACGTACTCCCATAGGGAAGGACGGGGGGTGCGTACTAATCACACGCATCACCCGTCCTTCCCGGGAGCTACCCGATACGGCCGTGCACGCAGCGCGGAGCTGTACGTGCCGGCCTTTTCTCGTGTGAATGAGGCCTAAGGCTGCTTTTAAATATTTATTTAATGGCAAAAAAAGGCCGTGGCAGCGGAGATTCAGGGCTGGTTCAGACCGGGGCGGTCAAGAACACCCGCCCCGGGACCGTGCGATGGCGAGCAGTTGCACACAGCGGTTCCTGCGCGGCCCCATTGATTTCAATGGGGTGACATCCGCGCGGCAATCGCAGAAAAAAAGATACCTGTAGCTTTTTTTGCCACACACGCAACCGTTTTAGCCGCGATCGCGTTCGATTGCACGGGCGGTGTTTTTAGAAAACAACGGCACCGCCATTGCGATCGGCGGCGATTCCGTATCGGCGCGGTTTTGTGCACGGATGGCCATAGTGTGAACCTGGCCTCAGGGACCGAGCTGTGTACAGAAGGTCTGCATCTCCGACACTCATCTCTAGTTTCAGCTGCCAGAACCTCGATCAGTCCCCCAGATGAGCGACGTCCCCCCTGCTGTCTCCTGTGATTTGTCATGAAGAGGAAGCGGCCTGGGACAGAGAGCGCAGGTCCCGAGCCGCAGCAGGTTCTGCTCAACCCCCCTCTCCTCATGGTGGCACCTTCCGCCGGGGCCATTGAAGTGCCTCCATCAGACGAGAGCCGCTCCACCCTGCGGCGTCCTTCACTGCACTTCACATGGAGTCCTCCCCAGAGCTGCAACATGCGTGTGAGCCTACAGACTGTACCCTTCCCCCATCTCCATGGCCCAGACACCCATCATGGAGGGCTGCCTAGCCCTCCAACCCACAGCAGCCCTAAAACCCCAGAGGGGCCCTAGATCCCGCAAATCCAGTGTCACGGGCCGCACCCCAAAGAAGCCCCAAGATAACCCTGGACAGAGCACAACATACCCGCCCCAACCTCCCAGCTCCCCCCTTCACCCCGCCAACGCCGTGGCATTGTGAGCCCGTCCTACTGTCTGTGCCACTCACCATTCGGCACAGTGCACTATTACCCCCCCCGACCATTGTTCCATGCCCACCGAGGGGTACAAATTATACAATTGGACTTCCAAGAGTTACGCAAGTTAAAAAGGTTGGGAACCAACGATGTGTGTGTCACGTAGGGCTGATTTCCCTACACTTCCTGTCCTGGAGGCACAACAGGAAGTGGACATTTCCTCTTAGACTCAGAACAGGTGTCCCCACTGTAAGACTTCCTCTCCATCAGGGGCGTCCCGAGACACTCGGTTACCCGCTCCGGGTGTCACCCTGCCGAGACGTCACCGCGCACGCGCGGCAGTCTTCTGATACCTGCCGGCGGCCATCTTGGTGATGGACGCCGACAGAGAGAGGAGGGGACAGTCACCTGGCGGGATAAAGTATGCAGCCGGGTCCCCTCCTCTCTCCTGATACTGTCGGGCGTTCGGTCCATGACTTTTCAGAAGGGGGGGTAAGATGACTAAGTCATTTTGGGTGGGGTCACCCCTCCAATGGTACTCCTATGGGAGTACGCCACACCCCCCTTGTGACGCCACTGCTCTCCATTCCTGTTCTGGTGACAACTGTAACATTTTGGATTTCCAACAAATTTCTGTCCTGGAGGCACAACATGAAGTTAGGGGGAAATCTCCCCAAAGTGACTCATAGACACAGGAACAGTCGTCTCCATT